CCCCAAAACCCCAAAACCCCAAAACCCCAAAACCCCGTATGATAAAATATGATGGTGAAGTTTAGTAATTTAGAAGTTGATTTATGATAATAGAATTATTAAAATGAATTACAGTGCTTCCCCTACATCTGGTTTAGACTATGATCCTAATCCTTAATTGGCAATTGATAGAGAATTGAATGAAAATTACATACCAAGATATTAAAGATTCGCCCCGAGGTTTAAGCCATACACACTTGAAGATGTTGAGATTGAAAGGAACTAAGTTTATCCTTTCAATAAACCAAAAGCTCCCATTGAAAATACTTATATCAACTATCTTCCGCATTAAAACCCTTACAATAGTGTAGCTCATTTCGATCCTTTGTCTTACCAGGCTCCATATAATGGTGCAAACTATCCTTATCCCTACTAATCTTTATTGCCTTATGGATAATTTGCTCCTAATGTAATACCCTAGCATTATGTAGCTGCAGAAAAGTAGAAATCATTCCTAGACACATTAAAACGTTAGTAACTAGATTTAAAACTCAAAATAGAAGTGGAAAAATTAGAATAAGCCAAAAAGATCCTTGAAGCAGAAGTATATAGAGATTTAAAGAAAAAAATGAAAAAAGAATATAAGAGATAGAAACGAGATTTGAACGACAAAGATGATATTGAGATGATGGAGGTTATAAAAAAGCATCATGACCATCTATAAAATTTAGGTGAAGGGATTGAAGATAATCATATGTGGCTTTTGATTCGAGAGAACGATATTTAGTAAAAGAAGGCTGATTAGATAGGCCTAGCTCATGAAATAAGATAGACAAGAATTGGTAAAGAGAGAGTTAAATTTATGAAAAAAGCAGAAGAGGAAAAAATAAGGAAGAAGATGGAGGATATTAGAAGGAAGTAAGAGGAAATTCAAAGAAAGCTAAGAGAAGCAGCAGAGAAGGCTGAGGAAGAGTAACAAATGCTGCTTGAAAAGAAATAGAATTAGAAGTAAAGGAAAAAGTAAAACAGAGAGAATTTCTAGAAATAGATGCAACTACCATCTAATCCACTTCATCAAACTCCTGGGTTGAGATCTTCCTAGAGCCAAAAGCTATTCACTGCAGCTTCAAAGAAGAGTGCGTATGCTGGTATAGATCCACATTATGCACCTCATCCTCATTATTATCCCCCCTTTCCACTACCTGATGAAGGACAGCAATTTTATTTTCCACCTCTAAGTTGATAGACCAACTGTGACACTGTAATTTTAAATTTATAAGTAAAGTTTATTAAGTTTGATTTAATCACTTTAGTCTCAAATATTTTCAAGCTCTGTTAAACAAGCGAAAGCTCTTTCCATTTCTAGCTAATCTTTGTAGTCTAGTCCTAGATCAGCATGTAAATCTCCCTTTGATGCGGCTCTTGATCTATTCTTGAATGGAGTAGTAGATCTGGATCCTGATCTTGAATTTGATCTTGATCCAGGTCTCGAGCCTTCTTTTACAACAAGTCTAAGTTTATCGAAATTTTAGAATAACTTAGGACCAAAGTCATTCACGATATTCTTTACTTGTTATTTTAATTCTTTTCTCACTAATTGAAGGTCATGTACCTTATCTGTGTAGAAGAATGCAATAAGTCTTGATTATGCAGCCTTGTAATGTCTCATAACTCCATCTGACGATCTAACACACACTAAAATATATCTTTAAGAATTTTTTAGAAAGATTACATGTCACGTAAATAGGAAATAAAAATGCAAAAATCATTGAAAGTTCTATACTTTAAGCTCTACCAAGAGCTAAATATATTCTACAAATTTCATAGAATGCACATGTGAATAATCCACAATAAATAGGGTAGAAAATTAAAGCTGAGACTACTTTCACACTTGCCATTACATCAGTAGCTTTGACTTTTACGTCAGAACCAGCAAGAGCCTTCTTTCTCTCTCTTTCTGCATACAGACCTACAACACTGGCTAATGGGGCAAGCATAAATAAACCTGGGAGAGCAAATAGCAAAGAAAGGCACAATTTGACGAAAGAGACCAAAAGATTATTAAAGAGATAAATGATGGATAGCTTCATATTCTTTACTTGGTAATCATGAATATTGAGAGTTTTAAGTTAGTGTCTATAATCAGTTATTCCCTCAATCAAATGCTTTAATTCTCTATGATCCTTGAAAGCATTATATCCTTTAAAGAATCTTTAATACATGTCATTCTCTTATTCTTTGGTGTATTTAGGCGTCTTTTTAGGAAGATATAGTTTTCTTGCCATATAGATAGCTTATAACTCATTAAAACTTGGTGCAGAGAAGAGAATTTCTCTCATTCTTGTCTCAATATCTTTCAGAAACATTGATACTGCTTTTCTTTTATCTCCACTTTTATACATTTCTATCATCTCAGTAGTTGCCACATATGGCCTTCCGAATTCAACTAAGACTTTGCTTCTAAACTGATTGTGATTAAAATATTTTAGTCCACAAGGAATAATAGTCACTGGAACATTATGTTATACTGCAGTTCCAAGAGCCATAAAAGCGATGCCTGCTTTAAAAGGCAAGATATCAGTTTAATCGTGAGATCCACCCTCTGGGAATATTCCAATACTTCCACCAACACCAAGATGATTTATCACATTCTTGAAAACCACTGATTAGTCAACTTTTGGCAGAATCTTGAATTTATATTCACTCTCTATTTAGAAACTATTAAGTCCAGGTTCTTTCAAAGTCAGTTCAGTATCACTTTCTATCGATTCTACAATTTGATCTTCAAGTTTTGGTGATTCCTTATTTATCTAAATAAATCTTATAATATCTCCCGGTTGGAGCTCCTTCTTGAATTATGTTGAAATTCCCTAAAGGAAAACATAAATCATTTATTTGTTATACCTCAATGAATCTCATTCCAATCGTCTTCAAAGAACCCTTGCCATTTGCAGCTAGATCTTGAGGTCTTTCAACAGGGATACATTTTAATGCTTTTCCAATATCTCCATAAACTCTTCTTCTCATTGTCTATAAATAATATTCAACACACTAATCTTACCTTTGCTGCAGTGAGAAAACTAATGTCTCGTTTGCAATAGGATAGAATTAGTGCTCCATCAACAAATTGATTATTATGATTTCCACAAAATATGACAGGTCCCTCCTATAAAACCTAATTAAATAAGATAGAAATACTGGTGGAATGTTAGATTAGCCTATGATTCCTATATCTCTAAAGAATAGGTTGATCATCAGCTTTAGAATCATCCTTGTGAAATTATATATTGACAAGAACGGTGCCTTGATCTCTTTCATTGTAATTTACATTTAATAAGATTAGCAATTAATGGTTTAGGATTTAGATTAAACAAGATTTTATGACTTAAGTTTTAATAATCAATTAAACTTACTCAAACTCCTTCTCAATAATAATATTAATTTCTTTTACTTAAAATAAAATACAGCTTAAGATAAATCTCGCGAAAAAATGTTTCTTTCAACTACAGAAAATACACTAACATATTCACCAAACTACTCACCAAACTTAAAGCAAAATGGATATTTCGGTAATTAGATCATAGCTTTATCAAAATTATCTGTTTAGATGATAAAAGCATGATGAGTCAAAAGAAAACTTAGATCTCAAGTTCTGATTTCAAGCCAACTCCATCTTACCTTAACAAAAACTACATTTCAACCAATTCATCAGATATTAACCAGTTTGACTACAACATAGATGCTTAGACCTTTAGTAATAGCGCCAATAAATAGTAACCTGATTCATTTTAACTTTTAATAGGAGAGCATTCTCTCAGAATATCAAAGCTAAGTGGGAAAATCCTGTAAAAGATTAAGAGGCGTAGCGTGGAGTGCATAATTTTAAGGAGGAGGTAACAGAAATTCGTAATTTCTTAGATCTCCTTCACTCAAAACATGAGTCAGTTAATAATCAAGATTATCCCCCAGGGTAAGATTACAATATCACCATCTTAAATACTTAGAGTACCATCCTATGAGGAATGTTTGGGCAGAAAAGATGATGTTAATTAAGCAATTGATATGATTAAAGATAGAAGAAATACCTATAAACTTAGTAAGCTTATTTCTTTCTAAAATTTTTAGGAAGCCCATAAAAACCATTCAGAAGAAATCAACCAGCTCCTGTTGTCCCTCAAAAAACTATAATGGAGAGAATGGAGTAGGATGCATTTGCCAGATAGCTAAGAGATGTATTCTTTGAGTAATGGAATAACTCAAAGATTATGTGCGTCCAAGGATAGTATCATAAGAAAATGTGAGTTAATATTTAAGTTAAATGATGTTAAGACCTTGAGGCTTAGTCTACCTACTGACCTTAAGATCAGTATAAATATATGTGATAATCTATACTAAGAAATGATGTTTAGTTAAATTTTTAAATAAAAAAACTTTTTATGTTATCTTATGGGGTTTTGGGGTTTTGGGGTTTTGGGGTTTTGGGGTTTTGGGGTTT